AAAAAGACCACTGGAGAACAATGATGTGTAGAACAGCATAAAGAATGGCTAACCTTGGATGTTCCAAAGTCGCAGCCACTGTGGGCATCAACTTCTTTGAGGTCAGCATACAAAAAAGTCATTAAATTCACAACATCATCAAAGTGTTTTTAATTTATTTTGATGATAGCAGGAACAAAAAGGTTTGGAGATTCCTTTTCAAGTCCACTTGAGGGCAAGAGGGAAAATGCATCAATTATTTAATTATGCATGTGTGCATATTTATGTCAAAWGTAAAGTTTTATAGTTACATAACCCCTTTTTCTTTCTTTACAGAAAACCCTGTTTGTTTCCTGTTTATGATCCAGAGTATGCAGCCAGCAGGATTGTGGATGCAATTAAAAAGGAAAAATTTTATCTGATCATGCCTCCAGCYGTATACGTACTTGGTCTGAAAATGTAAGCATGTGACTTGTCTTCTAACACTGCCTTCTTTCCTTTGCCATATACTTGTAAAATCAGCAGGAAAATTTACCGAAAGAGTCCTTTAGTTAATATTCCTGCAGTCACTCCAGTTATATGTACCCAATTTCAAAGAAACAGTGGGTTTGATTTTTTTAATAATTTAGGTGAATAAGATTCCTCTGGCCCCTTCTGTGTCTAAGGAACGTATTCATTTGCAGTTGGGTATAGAAATTTTCCAAAATTTTTCGTAAGGCAATACACTGGGAACAATGCCTGGTCTAGCACTTTCTAGGTCCARTCACTGCCTCCCCTGCAGGCTGGGCTTTCACAAAATGTCTTTCACAAATGTCATTTATTTMCCCATCTATAATACTGAAGCACCAAATATGCTTTGAAAAAGACATTTGAAGTATTGCCCACATATAAATGTATCTGTCATTTTGTTATTCATGCAGTATCTTTTTCTAAAAAATTTACACTAACTCGATGTTTGTCTCATCAGTTTCCTGCCTAGAATACTGATACTACTMCTTGAGTCTTATATTAAGTTCCCTGAGAGCATGGAAGAAGCCTTTGGCCAGAAGAAAAAGGTTTGAAACCAAAAGTAATGTGAAGACTTCAAGTGCCATCTAATGGAACATTTCCAGTTAAAAAAAGAAAAAAACATTTTAAATCTTGTATATTCTTCAACAGAAAATCTACTTCCAGTTTGCTATTTTACATTAGTCCGCATGCCATTTAATTCTTCAAAATTGTATTTTATGTCTTTATATTTGTTAATCTTCTGAGTAACTTTTGAAAAATCACTAAAATTTAAAAYTACATTGGTATTATGTTAAGTGACCAAGCAAAAACTTAGCATGGACTGTACTG